ATGTGATATCCACTTACCTAGGAGCAAACCCTACGATAGTATTAGAATTTAGTTGCTTTTTTTCCCCTTTACTAAAGCTGCCTTCAGTCCAAACTCCATCAGAGAAACATCATTCAGCCATCATTCAGCATCAACCATCAATTGCATTATTATTATTATTATTATTTTGCTGTAGTGGAAATCCAGCCTTTATGTTAGCCGTTTGGTGGAACCAGGACTGCTGTGGCTTATTTAGCAAACCATGGTTTTGTAAGAGAATGTGGACCTGATCAACGATAATGCCTTTCGAAGAAATCCCCGTAGGCATATACTTTAGACAGACAGTATCTGCATCAGAAACATTCAGTTTGCAGAAGAGAAGGATGGTTTGATGTCATTTTGTTTGTTTATCTATGGCAGTGGTTCTCAACCTGTGGGTCAGGACCCCTTTGGGGGTCGAACAACCCTTTCATAGGGGTCGCCTAAGACCATCAGAAAACACATATTTTCAATGGTTTTAGGAATAATTTTATGGTTGGGGGTCATCACAACATGAGGAACTGTATTAAAGGGTTGCGGCATTAGGAAGGTTGAGACCCACTGATCTATGGAGGTTCTCAGTCATTCAAGTCGTGGTTGTCCCCAAACTGCTTTTTCCAAAAGGCAACTTTGATTTTCCTTGAAGACTCACTTTCTCATCCCAAGAAACTTCATCAGAACTGAAAAAGCATCTTGGATGATCACCTTTGGACTTCGTTTGTTTGCTTCATAGAAAGTAATACAAGCAAAACTCAATCTCAGCAAAAGTTTTCTAAGGTTTCAGATGGATTTCCATCCCTACCACTGGGCAATGAATCTGGGATTGTCTAAGGATCGTTGGGACAGTCTTTTCTTTTTAAAAAAAATCTGTATCCTGTCTTTATTATTTTTACAAATAGCTCAAGGCAGTGAATACATACAACACATCTTCCTCCTCCTATTTTCCTCACAACAACCCTGTGGGGTGAGTTGGGTCGAGAGAGAGAGAGAGAGAGAGAGAGAGAGAGAGAGAGAGAGAGAGAGGAACTGGCCCAAGATCACCCAGCAGGCTTTCATGACTAAAGACAGACTAGAACTCACAATCTCCTGGTGACTGACCCAGGGTCAACCAGCTGGTTTTCATGGCTAAGGTGGGACTTGAACGCAGAGTCCCCTGCTTTCTAGCCTGGTGCTTTAAACGCTAGATCAAATTGGCTATCTTCTATCTTAGGATAGGATAGGATAGGATAGGATAGGATAGGATAGGATAGGATAGGATAGGATAGGATAGAAGAGAAGAGAAGAGAAGAGAACAGGAGGAGGAGGAGGAGGAAGAGAAAGAAGGAATAGAATAGAATAGAATAGAATAGAATAGAATAGAATAGAATAGAATAGAATGGAATGGAATGGAATGGAATGGAATGGAATGGAATGGAATGGAATGGAATGGAATGGAATGGAATGGAATGGAATGGAATGGAATGGAATAGAATAGAAGGAGAAGGAGAAGGAGAAGGAGAAGAAGAAGGAGGGAAAAAGAGGTAGCAGTAGAAGAATGAGAGAAGCAGAAGCAAAAGGAGTAGAGTAGAGTAGAGTAGAGTAGAATAGAATAGAATAGAATAGAATAGAATAGGTAGAATAGGAGTAGGGTAGAATAGGAGTAGAGTAGAGTAGAGTAGAATAGAATAGAATAGGAGTAGAGTAGAGTAGAGTAAAGTAGAAGAGAAGAGAAGAGAAGAGAAGAGAAGAGAAGAGAAGAGAAGAGAAGAGAAGGAAAAGGAGAAGGAGAAGGAGAAGAAGGAGGGAAAAAAGTGGTAGTAGGAGAAGAATGAGAGAAGTAGAAGCAAAGGGAGTAGAATAGAGTAGAATAGGGTAGAATAAGGTAGAATAAGGTAGAATAGAATAGAATAGAATAGAATAGAATAGAATAGAATAGAATAGAATAGAATAGAATAGAATAGGAGAAGGAGAAGGAGAAGGAGAAGGAGAAGGAGGGACAGAAGAGGTAGGAGAAGAATGAGTAGAAGCAAAAGGAATGGAATAGAATAGAATTAGAATTAGAATAGAAGCTGGAAGGGACCTTAGAGGTCTTCTAGTCCAGCCCCTCTGCTCAAGCACTATATCTTACTGGTATTGCTGGTTGGAAATACATAAGGCTAGCCACTTTCACGCGTTTTTAAGGGAGTCAGATTTTCCAACGAAACCCGCGAGAGCCCCATTCGTGAGTGTGACATCGCAACCGCCGCGGCTGAACCGCCCAGACCGAGGAAAACGCCGCCGCCGCCGCTTCTCTCGACTCTCATTCGGAAGCGCGGCGTGAGCTGTCCGAGGTCCTGAAAGTGCGCCCCACACCCAGTTTTAGCGCAAAGGGATAGACGCGCGGGACAGCGGAGAACCCCCGGCCGCTCCCCAACCTCAACTGGCACCGTGTTATTGGCCACCTACTCCTCTCGCCCCCCCACCCCCCCCCCGGCTGCGGATGATGAGAGTTGGAACCGCCGCATATCTGATGGCTGATTCCGGCCACCGCCTCTCGCTCCTACAGACGGATCTTGCGAAGGAGCGCGCTGTCCTCTCTCCCTTTTCGTTTCCTATACGGACGGGCAAAAAAAAACCACGGAGGTTTTGTGCCACTAAGGTGCCCGCTCGTTTGTTTAGCCCGCTCGCAACTCCCGATAGCCGGAGGGAGTTGAGGAGACTTTAGGAGGAGAAGGGGAGGGAAAGAGGCAGCAGGATCCGGGGGTAAAGGCAGGATTTGGGGCTGCCTGGGGTGAGACCCGAGAATTTTACTTTCTCTAAACCTGTCGGTCTAAAGCAGTGTTTCTCAACCTTGGAAGCTTGAAGATGGGTGGACTTCAACTCCCAGAAACCCCCAGCCAGCGCTGCTGGCTGGGGGATTCTGGGAGTTGAAGTCCACCCATCTTCAAGCTACCAAGGTTGAGAAACACTGGTCTAAAGTCAGATTTCTCTATCAGGTTGTGATAGAAACGACTCCCCACATCCTCACAAGGCTCCAAACACACAAAGATAGGACGGAACGAAGGTGCTTTCTGGGTACCCCAATGGAGAAGCAGACAATCCAGCGCTCCCACGATCGTCAGCCATCCACGCTCCCTAAACATTGACCAAGCTGTCCGTAGCTGATGGGAGCGAAAGACTAAATCATCTGGACGGCACCAAATAGAGCGCCTTGGGCGCCCGAATTTTCGAGCTCCGGGACTCGGACTTGCCAGCTTCAATGACAGAACACTTCCGCTTCCAGAAACTGACCGCAGCTGAGCAGTTCCCGCCGGACCTTGGCTAATCCCATCCCAACCTCACGTGACAGAAACGCGCTTCGGGGACCGGCTTCAATCCGGATTAGAATGCTGCCATTTGTCGCCCAGCTAACCCCCTTCTAGCCTCGAATTCCCATCTCCGCAGAAGGTGCGGGGAAGCAAGCGGCACGCACCGCGCGCGCATCGAAATCCATTCCACAAAAGGTTTTTTTTTTTCTGGAAATCCTGAGAAGGGTGTCAAAGCAGAACAAACTCATAAGTCATTTCTTTGCGTTGTTTTTCCTTTTATTTTGATGCAGTTTCCTCCTCCTGAAACACACACAAAGGCGCGCACGCACCTTTCCTTTCATATCCTAACGGATGGAAAGGTTAATTTATGGAGGCTAATTCTGGAAGGCGGCCCCTCCACCCGGACACGTGAAAAGACGAATCAGCGCTGCAGGTTCTTAGAAGCCCCCAGCCCTGATTCAGGACCCCAAGAACTCAAACGGGAAACTAGACCGAGCCGGCAACCCCGTCCGCTCGCTTCAAGGGGCGGACTTTCCGAGTTTGCCTTAGAAAACAGAGCAGAAGGCACGTAAATAAAAGCTAAGGGTAAACCTGAGCGGTGGCGCTTAATTTCAGGTCGTGGATCCCACCACCCCAGAACGCGGGTGCTTCTGAAGACGTTCAGAGCTCGGAAGTAGTTGCCAATGGGATTTAGTGCGTGGGTAAAGACTGGGGCCAACCTTTCGGGTTCCAGATTCTGGAGGGAGCAGGTCAGTTTGCGGCACCTGCTGACTCCCCCGAAGGCAAAGCGCCGAGGTGGCGGGCTCCAGGCTAAGCCGGCAGGAAGAGTTTCAAGGAGACGCCCTTCCTCACGGGCACAGCTGGAACTCTGCGCGGGCAGGAAGCTCGGCAGTGGGCGGAAATCTAGAGAAGGAAAAGCACGTCCCGGGACTCCCGAGTCTCACCCAGTTCTGGACGAGTAGGGTCAAGGGGAGGCTCGGCGGAGATGCGCTCGGCTTGGGCTCCGCGCCTCCGGCACGCAGCGAAGGACAGCCGCTCCTGCGCTAAGTTTGCCGAACGCGCAAGATCGGCTTGGCCGCGCCTCAAGCCCACCGGGTCTCTCAAAGGCGGCGCGCAAACCCCGAAGGCGCTGTCCGGAGTTAAGCGCCTCGGGCGACGGACAAAACCTGCGGCCGCTGTTCCCCTACACACACACACCGGGGTCGGCGATTTTGCTGCGATTCCCCCCCCCCCCGATGCTTTTCGGTGGGAGCCTGGACAGGGACATCCTGCCGGGGGTGGGGGAGGCGTACAGCTCACGCCCCTGAGCTTGAAAGGAGAGAGAGAGAGGCTTAGGTGAGTTTGGAGGGCAGCTTCCAGAAGCCCCGCCAAGCGTCGCGGCAAATAGGAACGGGCGGAGACGATGGGAGCTGTAGTCTTAGCAACTTGAGAGACACCGGGAGAGGAACTTCCTCGTTCAGCGAAGGCCTAAACTGAGTGCCAGAACCCCCCCAAATAATACTAATAATAATAATAACAACCACACGGGCCAAAATCAATGGTGGAGCTATGTGTCTCTGAGCCTAAGCCGCACAAGAGTCTTCAAAGAAGCCCAAGGGGGGGGGGGGTGCCGGGAAGTGACCCTTCAACGCTGACCGGAATCCCTGCGGGGAAAGTTACCGAAAACCCACGGGGAAAGGCGGCCGTGAGCTTCTCCCGAGAGGCGCTGCCACTCACCTGACTCCCGGGGCCGGCGAGTCCTCCCGGAGCGGCTCACTTCGGAACAAATCTGCCCCCGATTCGATCCGCCTGCCTCCTTCGCCTTCCCTCCCACAAAAGAGGCGGCCGCCGCTGCCTTTTTTCCCCCCCCCCCCCCCCCCCCCGGGGAAAGAAACGGAGGAGGGGGGACGCGCGCGAAGCCCGACCGACCGACCGACCGACCGGTCGGGGGAATCCGCCGCGTAGCGCTGTGCCTCTCGGCTCCGCTGCTCGGGCCTCACTTTTATGCGCTCTGAACCGAACCCAAGGGCCAACCGCGGGGGGCGCAGCCAGCTCCGAGCCTGCCTGGTCGGGGAACCTTTTTATATAGAGGCGCGCCAGTTCCACGCCCTAGGACGGGAGCCCGAATCACAAACTCTTTCGCTCAGGCAAAAAGCGCTGGGAGGGATTTGTACCTACTCCAGCCTCCTCCTCCCCCAAATCGCCAATGCCTGGGGACCCGGCGGCGGCGGCGGCGGCTGGTGCTGCAAGCCCACGCCCCACGCCAGGTTCGCAAACGCCCTTGGCGCGCTTCCTTGGGAACGGAGCCCCTGGAAAGACTTCGGAGGGCTCCGATTGTAAAAGGGAGACCTCAGCTCCCGGCCGGCTAAGGAATCAACCCTCGGAAAAACGAACGCGGTTTCTCCCCTTTTCTCGGCCTTTTTTTGGGGGGGTGGGAGGTGGGGGAGAAAGGTTCGCAAATGGCTCAGTTTCTGCCATTTCAGGTGGCCGAGCGCAGCCTCTCTGCAAGTCACGCGTGTCTTTGGGGAGGCGCCGCTGACCCCCACGTAAAGTGTGTACATTTGCCGCCCCCCCAGCCCCACCCCCGTGGAAAGTGCAGAAGGAGCTCGTTGGGACTTAACTTCTGAGTAAACCAAAAAGGAAGATCGGGCGCCGCGGCGGTTGCCTCGCCCTTTATAATCGCGCTTGAGGATTATAAAACCCACGTTCCGAATCTGAAACCGGGAGGGTGGGGAGGAAAGAGATCAGGGTAACCGCCTCGCTTGATGCTCCTACATTGCACCCCCTGCCACCAATCTGGCTTTAACACACACACACACACACGTAAGGTATATTGCGCTTTAAAGTTAAACCCTGGTTAGTACAAGGCTTTCAACCGTCTCCTCTAGCAGAGTTGCCAGAAATTACGCAGGTGGGGAAAGACATAAATCTCCTGCTGATGGCATTTACGAGAGAGAGGGGGAGGGAGAGAGAGAGGAAGGGAGAGGGAGGGAGAAAGGAGGGAGGGGGAGGGAGGGTGGGAGGGAGAGAGGGGGAGGGTGGGAGGAAGAGAGGGAGAGGGGGAGCAAGAGAAAGAGTGAGAGAGGGAAGGGGAGATAGGGAGGAAGGGAAAGGGGGAGGGAGAGAGGGAGGGAGGAAGAGAGGGAGAGGGGGAGCAAGAGAGAGAGGGAGAGGGAGGGAAGGGGAGGGAGAGGGAGGGAGGGAGGGGGAGGGGGAGGGAGAGGGAGAGCAAGAGAGAGAGGGAGAGAGTATTTTTGTATTTTGCTCTCAAGTCCTTTAAAATACTTGCTATTATTGTCCGGTTACTTCAAGGTGTAAAAATGGAAGAGGAAAAAGAAAACGAAGCCATGGAATCCAGCGTAAACCAAAATCAGGGAAATAAACGGAGCTAATTGGCAAGCACAGTGTGTCTTTACTTTTACCTTGAAGCACAATGGTGTGAATAGATTCCAGGCGTTCCCACTTAATATCCGCATTGTCTTTTCAGGGGTTCAAAATGCTACGTTCGAGGACAGAAGAAGCAGTGCTGATTGAAAGCAAAGGGGCTCTAACCCACCATTCAGTTCTCACAGTAACTAAGCAGAAGAGGACAAAGAAAGAGCAGAAAGAAAAGAGCCTAGTGTGGTCTAGTGTTAGGGCACTAGGCTAGAAGCCAGGGGGTTGAAAGTTCTAGTTCTGCCTTAAGCATGAAAGCTGGCTGGGTGACTTTGGACCAATCACCAGGAGACTGGGAGTTCTAGTCCCACCTTTAGGCATGAAACCCAGCTGGGTGACTTTAGGCCAAACACTAGGAGATGGTGAATTCTAGTCCCGCCTTAAGTATGAAAATCATCTGGGTGACTTTGGGCAAATCACCAGGAGACTGGGAGTTCTAGTCCCACCTTAGGCATGAAACCCAGGTGGGTGACTTCAGGCTAGCCACCAGGAGATGGTGAGTTCTAGTCCTGCCTTAGACATAAAAGCTGGCTGGGTGACTTTGGACCAATCACCAGGAGACTGGGAGTTCTAGTCCCACTTTAGGCATGAAACCCAGCAGGGTGACTTTAGCCAGCCATCAGGAGATGGTGAGCTCTAGTCTTGCCTTAGTCATGAAAACAAGCCAGCCACACTGTCTCTGCCCACCCCCCTACCTCACAGAGTTGTTGTTATAGGGAAAAATAGGAAGAAGAAGCAGTACTGAGTATGTTTACTGCCTTGGGTTATTTATAGAAATAATAAAGTTAGGTAATAAATAAAAATAGAAATTATATTCCTGCGTAGAAAGTAAATGGAGAGAGAGATTGCTGCTGATTCTTCTAATACTACGGTCTCCATTGATAAGACGATGAATGATTCCAAATGTAAAGTAAAATAAACATCTCCAATGCTTATTAAATCTTTGCTAAGTAAATAATGAGGCCAAGGGAAACATAGATAGTATTTCTTCCTCCTATTTTCCTCCCGCACAACCCTGTTAGGTAGACTAGATGGAGAGTGAACAATTGGCCCCAAATTAGCCAGGGCTCTTCCCAGTGATGAAAACCCAATTTTTTTACTACGGGTTCTGTGGGCGTGGCTTAGTGGGCGTGGTGTGGCTTGGTGGGCGTGGCAGGATCCTGCAAAATCCCCATTCCCTCCCCACTCCTGGGGGAAGGATATTGCAAAATCTCCATTCCCAGCTCACTCTGGGACCAGCCAGAGGTGGTATTTGCCGGTTCTCTGAACTGCTCAAAATTTCCGCTACCGGTTCTCCAGAACCTGTCAGAACCTGCTGGATTTCACCCCTGGCTCTTCCGTGTCCCCAGGTGATTTCTCACTGCCAGTTCAGCATCTTAACCACTCCATGATATGTAAAACTGGGGCTTGTCCCCTCAGCTTGTTATGAAAGGTGTTTATTCATAACTTATTGACTGATGACATTTCTAGGCTGCGCTAATTTGTTACGTTCTCGAGCAGACTACAAAACGCACCGTAAAAATACAGTAAAGGCGTTTTTTAAAAAGCAAAACAAATCACCATCAGAAGTTCAGAACAAAACAGCCATCCAAACTGAAGATCCATCATCCCTTTGAACCAACGCTGAGATTGGTGGAGCCAGTTTTTAAGGATGAGCAAAACTGAACTCTAAACAAAACTTAGCTGACGATGTATGCCTTATATGTGTACCATGCAGTGGTGGGTTTCAATATTTTTAAACTATCGGTTCTGTGGGTGTGGCTTGGTGGGCGTGGCTTGGTGGGCGTGGCTTGGTGGGCGTGGAAGGGGAAGGGGAAGGATACTGTAAAATCTCCATTCCCACCCCACTCCAGGGGAAGGTTACGGCAAAATCCCCATTTCCTCCCGATCAGCTGGGACTTGGGAGGCAGAGAATAGATGGGGGCTGAGCCAGTCAGAATTTTTACTACCGGTTCTTTGAACTACTCAAAATTTCTGCTACCGGTTCTCCAGAACTGGTCAGAACCATGTACAGAAATATAAGAATGGGTGCGCTCTGCTAAAATAGAACTGCAAATGGTAAAACTTTTTCTTTCTTTCTTTTTAATTGAAAAACTAAAATAAGCTAGAAGGTTATGGCCATTGACATTCGGAGCACCAAAGCTTTTTCTGCCCTCTCCTCAAAGTCAGGGGTTTTTTTTTGCAATGTGAAAACGGAAAGAAAACCTGGGTCAAAAGTGGGAGCAGCAAGTTGATGAGAGTCTAGTGGTTAAGGCGCCAGGCTGGAAACTGGGAGACGGTGAGTTCTAGTTCTGCCTTAGTTATGAAAGCCAGCTGGGTGACTTTGGGCCAATCCCTATTTTCTCTCTCAGCCAGGGGTGAAATCCAACAGGTTCTGATAGGTTCTGGAGAACCGGTAGCGGAAATTTTGCGCAGTTCAGAGAACCGGCAAATACCACCTTAGGCTGGCCCCAGAGTGGGGTGGGAATGGAGATTTTGCAACATCCTTCCCCCAGGATTGGGGAGGGAATGGGGATTTTGCAGTGTCCTTTCCCCCAGGAGTGGGGAGGGAATGGGGATTTTGCAGTATCCTTCCCCTGGAGTGGGGTGGAAATGGAGATTTTGCAGTATCCTTCCCCTGCCATGCCCACCAAGCCATGCCCACCAAGCCACGCCCACAGAACCGGTAGTAAAAAAAAATTGGATTTCACCACTGCTTTCAGCCCAATTCACCTTACAGGGTGGTGGTGGTTGTGGGGAAAATTGGAGGAGGAAGAGGTGTGTTGGATATATTCACTGCCTTGAGTTATTTGTAATAATAATATAGGCAGCATACAAATAAAGAAATAAAATAAAAACCATGGAGACACTCTGCTTTATCCTGGGCTACTTAATCCCCTTGTGGGTATAGCTCAGTCCATTGCAATAATAACAATAGCAATAGCACTTAGACTTATATACCGCTTTACAATGCTTTTACAGCCCCCTCTAAGCAGTTCACAGAATCAGCCTATGGCCCCCCAACAATTTGCGTCCTCATTTTAACCACCTCAGAAAGATGGAAGGCTGAGTCAACCTTGAGCTTGGTGAGATTCGAACTGCCAAATTGCAGGCAGCCGGCAGGCAGCAGAAGTAGCCTGCAGTACTGCACTCTAACCACTGTGCGGCAGTTCAATAAGCTACAGTATTCTGGAGTTGGTTTTTTTCAGTGTAGAGTAGTGAGTGAATCTTGCAAGCCTTGTCCAGTGGTGAAATTCAGCTGGATCTATCCGGATCGCGTGATCCAGTAGCTCTGGTGGCAGGAGGCTCTGCCTACCCGCCCGGATGTCATCACGTCCCGTTTTTGACCCTCTGAGTATGAGCAGAAGGTTCTGTGCATGTGCGAAGGAGGCACGGACACTAACATTTGCAAGCTGGTAGGGAAAGGTAAGTGAATTTTACCCCTGGCCTCGTCTCTAAATAATGAATGGCTTCAACTGGGTGGAAGCCTATTGTGGTTTGTTCCATAAACAATGATCAGACAAGATGTGTAAATTGAACCAATTTGATCAAGCGTGAGAAATCAGGGAATCCAGGCAGTTCAAATGAATATAAAGGTTCACGGAAGATTAAGGTCACTACAAGAATCTGAGCTAGTAACGGTCAAAGCAAATTGGTGGTAGGTA